TTATGCTTTATTAGTAAGATGTGTGTACAGAATGTGGTCTTTAAATATCACTGTCTCGGTGCATTAAGTGTGTTCTTTATATGAGAGGGAAATGCTTAAATAAACGCGTTGCATTCACATTTTGATCTTATATGCATATCTGCGCATAGTATATGCTTTACAATTTTGTCTTTATCACTGTCTTGGTACATTAAGCCACTTTAAGCATTTTAGAAAGTCCAAGTTCTGCTAATTCACAAGCCTAGTGAGAGTCATGCTCGCAAAGAAGGTAATGTTAACTATTAAACCAACCAAATCAAAACTTTCAAAAACGCACTGCACTGTGATTCTTTTGAGTGAGTCAGTGGGTTTAATCAGTGACATTAACAGATTTACTATTCGGTGTCTTCTCCTCCTTCCCTTGGTGTTTTTACACACAGATATCGATGCAGTATGAATGACATACACCAGTGACATTTTTCACAATCACCGCGGCGTTACGTCACATTCTCATTCCTAATTACGTTTATGCAAGCATCGTGAAAGTCAGTCTTTCAATTTCCTTCAGTGCATGCAGGTACTTTAGATTGAAACCAGTCTTTATTAATTCATATGGCATGCTATTTTGGGTTAAATAATATCTTAAATATTTCCAGATATACAAAGTTAAGTTTTAATGAAGAAAGATATGTCAAAATATATCTGTATTTTCTTCTTGCATTATAAATGAATTAATAGTTAGATAAATTCTAAACTTGTTCATTTATTCTAATGTAGTACACTGTTCATTTTAAGATGCCTTATAACTCGTTACTCATTAAATTTATGTAAATGTATTTAATAATCAGATTAAATAAATAATTAAATTGTTTCAGGCTTTCATGTGAATATTGCACAAGGTGTGTCCATTCACTTTAACAGTCATTTAATTGACCCTAGAATGAAGGATGTAAATTAAAATAAATTTACGATTTGACACCTGTATTATAGACAGCTTTTAGCATACACAAAATTAGGGGTAATCACAATTATTTTACCACATTTACAGTCCTAATTTAAATGACTGAAATAAGTGTTTTTTTGATCCTTTTTCAATAGAATTGACCCAGACTTCTGCAGTGTCAAGTGAAGGAAGCTCCTCATAAGTTTGCAAACTGGGAGTCTGATGACACTGAGTGTGAGTGATGGAAGCCCTACAGCAGGGATTCTCATATCTGGCCCACGAGATCCACTTTCCTGCAGAGTTTAGCTCTAACCCTAATCAAACACATCTGAGCATGCTAATCAATGTCTTCGGGATCATTAGAAAATCACAGGTAAGTGACTTTGATCAGGGTTGTAGCTAAACTCTGCAGCGCATTGGCCCTCAAGGGCAAGATTTGAGGAACCCTGCCCTACAGGAAAGGATCTGAAGATCGGAATCAGAATGCTGAAGATGAAGCCAGAATTGTGAGTCTGTGTCATTTATGTTATTCTATGTGCATAGGCCTGTCGTAATAATCAATATATCGACCTCAATAATTTTTGGTGACGCAATATATCGCCCATTATATTTACTTAAAAATGTATGTCACCATGTTTTGTATATTCCACTTGCGCCTGTGTCTTTAGCAGCTTCTCGTACATAACGTGGTGTAGTCATGAGGTGCTAGTTCAAATTTAAAAAATGCTTCTACAAACAAAGTTTCATCTGCAGATATGATCTTGTTTAGGGATCTGTGCCTTTGTGCATACGGACATCTGACTGCTAAGTAGAGACTGTTTTTCAGCAATAGTGTGCACCCTTAATTTACAGAGAAAAGAAGGTCAGGGAAAAATCTGTAGATGGAAAAATCTCCATACAAGTTCTTTGTGCATTTTTATCTACTTTACACTTTTTGTAGAAAATGTTTATTTACTATTTATTCAGGTTTTTTAAGGTATCTAATATTTTGATATTTATTTCCATGATCTAAATATTCTTAAAAATTATGAATATTGGAAGTGTGTAGGCCTTCTTGCATTATTATGCTGTTACATTGATTATATATTCAGTGGCATAAAATGGTCTTTAAAATGACAATAATATCGCTTATCACAATTATTTCTGGGGCAATATATCGCACAACAAAAAGTTGTTATCGTGACAGGCCTATATGTGCAAATGAATATTCAAAATTTAAGTTTAACTGGGCAGCCACACAATATCTGCTTATGTTCACACCTGGAATTTACTAATTATTAATTTAAGATATAAAACAGCAAAATGATAAATGGTTAGTGGACCCAAAAATGAAAATTTTTCTTAATTTCTCACTCTGTCATTCCAAACCTGCAAGACTTTCAATCAATTTCAAAACACAAGTGAAGATATTTTAAATGAAACCGGAGAGATTTCTGTCCTTCCATCGACAGTCTACACAACCACCACTTTGATGCTTCGAGAAGTTCATAAAGAGATCATAAAACTAATCCAAATGAATCAAGCGGTTTAGTCCAAATTGTCTAAAGAGACTCGATCGCTTTATACAATGAACAGATTTAATTTAGTTTTTGTTGTTTTTTTTTCACATTTAAACATTGATCAGGGAACATAAACAGAAAATTTGGACTAAACCACATGATACGTATGGATTAGTTCTCTTTATGGATTAGATCTCTTTATGAAGTTTTTGAAGTATCAAAGTGGTAGTTGCGTGGACCGTCATTAAAGGGACAGAAATCTTATATTCTATTAAAATATCTTTTGTGTTTCAAAGATAACGAAAGTCTTGGCTGAGTAAACGATGGAATTTTCATTTTTGAACTAACTCTGTAATAAAAGAATGTGGTCATGTGTCTTGTGTCTGTTCACTTGTGCATCACCGAAAGATGCATGCTAATGCCAGGTGTGAACAGAGCCACTGTGTGACTACACAATCAACTTAGCAGAATTGTTCCTGAGAGATATATTGTTGTCATTAATTGTTTTTTTTTTCTCCCAAGTTCCTGGCTTCTCCCAAGACCGTAAGGACCAGATTGACCTCGGAATCAGATGTAAAGGAGGATGAAACCGATGTTTAAGGTTAGACTATATTTCAGAATAAGATAATCTATATTCATGCATTATCTATATTCTGTGTTCATGCATTTTTTGCTGAAGTCATATCTGTTATTTAGAATGGGACAGTGATATTGCATCAGTTTGTCTCCTACTTCATTTGATTCCACCATCACCACAAGGCTGCAAGGGACCTGGAAAAATGTCCTCCTATCAAGCTGAAAAACATCTTCAAAAAGGTACATTTGGACATTTCTGTCACTACCTATTGTCTGCCTCAAAATATTGTCAGATATGTTGTATATGAAAGACTAATGTAAATAAAATCAGTGGGAGAGCTGACCTTGAGTGTTATTTTTGTCTTTGATCTGCAGGCACTAACAAGAAGAACACCTTGATTGCATAAAAGAGACCACACAGCTATACCTGCTCGCTGATGGGACAAAGAGGACCATCATTCATGGATGCTACACAACTGTCAACCAGTATCTTGCTGCAATCTTGTTCAAATCTACCTGTCATATTTGTTCATGTCTAGGTAAATTTGATGATTTTACGTGTTTTATTAACTATTTTATGTTTCTGTGCAACACTTAATGAATGTGACTGACTAATTAACCTCTACACATCTGGTATTTGGTTTAAAGTTGTCACTTTGCCCATTTGTTAAATAAACATTGGAATTTATACATCTGTCTGGAGACACTTGATTATAATCTTGTACATTAACACCATACAATAGCATTTTTGTTTTTGCACTAAAAGAATACTTTATTAATAACACTTAAAGGATTAAAACAACACCAGGGGTGTTAAATACCCCATAGTGTAAAATTTGAACAATAGCAAGTATAACACTTTGCACTCGGAGTGTAATTTTTCTACACTTGTAAGGTGCTATATTAACACTAAACATTCAACACTACGAACGGTGTACTTTTAACTAGATAGATTGTGACCATATATGATCTTTAATAGTGTTAAAATTGACACTTTAAGTGTTAAATTGACACTGCGTTTTTTACTGTGTAGGAAGAGCTGTGCCACTTTTTACTTTACGTTTTGGTCTAAGAGGTGGCATTAATGCATCTCATAATAATGTTATGAGATTGTTTTAAATATAAAGTTTTGAATATAGAAATTTAAATGATTTAAATGACTCAATTTATACTTTAAAAATAAAACTGATACTGCCAGGTAGCAGCAAGTCACTGTCTTTTTCTCTGAATCATTCATTCAATCGATTCGTTCAAATGGCGGATTCATTTAGGAACGAAGCAAGTGACTATTTATGAATGGGTCATTGAATCATTGACTCACTAGATTTCTTCAAAAGCAAAGATTCATTCATAAAGGAAACAGCGCTGTGTCAAAGACTATAGCACAGCAGCTGTGACTTTGTTTTTGAGCTATATTTTTGTTGACGAAATAGAGCAAAATAGACAACAGTGTTCCTAAAATGTAAGTCTCTTAATATTAACTTTTGTATAAAATCAGAAATGTATAAAACTGTTGTATAAATTAAATTTCACATTTGCAAACTCTCTTTCCCTCAGTTCATCGCGATCTCACAAACTTAAATTTGAATGAATTTAGCTCTTTACACTGAATCTATTATTTACATCGTCTCTACACTTTGTTTGTTATAATGAATGACACAAACTGCAGTCTGCTTTCACGATCTGTGCTGTGAGGTACAGGACGCACAGGGAGAAGCATTTCTATTGGCTGCAGTCATTATGGCAAAAGACGACAATGCGCAGCAAACCATAAACACAGTGCTACGTTTATGTGCAGAACGCTTTCGTAGTCTTGAATGGATAAAAATATAGAAATCACTTTAATTTCCAAATAAACCTAACCAGTTGTGTGACGGTTCCAGCAAGTAACCGGTTATTTCTGAGCTACAGGTGGTTTGGTTGAGGGGAGTGGTTGCACACCTGAAGGTAATGATGGCGCTCTACAAAAGACTGGGACAGAGATGGCAAGTGGTGTGAGCGTGGGCTGGGCTTGTGCGGGGCTTGAGCTGTCTTTGTTTGCGCCGTACCTTGGGTTACACATGAGGCTACCCGAGGACTGATGAGATGTGAGAGATACGGGAGATCGCCACCGCCGTTGATCCATCTCCTTTCGGGATGGTTGTTGTTCTTGGAGGATCCATGGACTGTGTTTGGTTGGACTACTGTCTTTCATACTTGTTACACACTTACATGTGCTGAAATACTGACTACCATTTATATTGACATTCTACATGGTTCTGTTTTATATGGACAAATAAATTAACTTAATAATTAGCTGTGGTGTGTGGTGACTCCCTTATTTTGTTGCGATCCAGAAAGAGATCATAACAGTTGGAAGTGAAACCCGTCCCCTCACACACTGGCACATTTACCCTGCATCTCTCCCTTCCTGACAGGGAGACAACAACCCCCACCCCCCCCCACACACACACATATTTCAGAACTCAAAACTAGATTCCAGTTCAAAATAATAATTGAAACTAAGCTGCATAAACGTCACACTCAGGAATCGGTGACTACAAAAGGATAAATACACACTACCGCAAACATTTTCACATCGACAACACTTCAACCGGTGTTGGTGAACTTGGAGAAAATCACTTTCAAGGAGAAAAATAGGACAGATATTATTACTTCTAAACACCAGAAGACAATGTTGTTTTTAGAGTTGGTATTTAGTCTAACAATAAGATATAAAGAAAACACTGTATCTTGGTTGTACCTATCGGAGGGGTATCTCCAAATAGCCTTCTCAGAGTTAGAAAAGTAGATTCTTTTTAACAAGGTCCCTGATCATATCAGTCTGATCTTAACTGTTCAAACAACACATTTGGGCTTAGAATGTTTTACAAACCCTGTGAGTAGTTGCTGTGATTCATTTCACATGTGAAGAGTACAGTCAATCAATAAACAGTGTTCACAAATAAATCTTAAAGGTACAGAAGATAAATATGAAAAAATCTATTCTACCCTTCTGAAACACCCAGATTTGAAATCGGGAGAATCATAACGTCACGTCACAGTTCTCCTCAACACACCCCTTATCATGCAGAATCTTTCTAAACTAACCTTGAGAAACATAATATAAAAACCTCAAACTGTATTTCATGACCATCATGACCTTGTGATCAATATAATATTTAAGGGCTTAAGGGTTTACTGCTGTTTATTCATTAGTTAATCAACCCACTCACAAAACAATTAACTTCACACTGTTTCTGTTAATAGCATAAAGACAATCTGTTATCTATATTTTATATACAGAAAGCAATCAAAGAAGGTTTACACTGAACTTTACAGTGAAAAAATATTGTAGCAACATTTTAGGTTTTATAGAACTGTTTAAATGTACAGTGAAAAACCGTATTTCATTAACTGATACGATGTTAATATGCAAACTTTTGTGTTAACTCATTTTATTTGCAGAAACCGACCGCACTTAATTTGGCCAAATGGCATTTGTTTATAAATTAATATTTATAATGTTTAAGTAATGCGAGCATATTGATTTTGAAAACTATTTTGCTTAAGTCCATGAAGAAAAATCTACTGATTTACGCAAAGACAAAAAAAAGCATCAATTCAACTCAAATCCCTTGCAGATAACAACAGCACACATTCATGTGTGATTGAAATTATTGAAGAGATTCACACTGCATCAATCACTACACAGTTACTGCCTTTAAATATAACAACAAGCAGCATAACATCAGTGTTTCTCTGTCCGTCCGTCCTTTACTTAAACACAGGCTCTGCTCTCCAGCACAATGGTGACCAACAAAACACAACAGGAAGTTGACTTAGGTCTTACAGTATTTTGCCGTTTTCTTTTCTTGATTTTACAGTGAAATACTGGCAGCTGTGGTTGCCAGTAATCTACTGTTTTTTTTACAGTTTGCATTCGTAAATTAAATTAACAGTATATTTCTGTTAAAAATACATTTCACAGTGTTTTTTTTTCATCTCACACATTTAACCCCTTTAATCCCACAGCAAAATCCTCAGTTTTAAAAAGCACATATATGTGTCCACACTACAGAGTGTTGAAGTGACACTGAAGTGGTGATGAAGTTAATGAGATAATTAAATGAGGATTGAGCATTAGTGATGAACACCTGTTAACAAGCAGAATCACTGAAGGAAAGAGAAACAAGAGCAGAGAAACACAACTTACAGCAAAAGCCAAAGATGAAATCAACTGAAAATAAAACACATTAAATGCAGCTATGAACTTTACCATGAAAAATACAAGATGTCCAGGACCTCCGGCAGAAAAGCAGACCCACAACATTAAAGATCCAGCAGTATATTTAACTGTGGGCATGGGGTGCTTTTTATCCCTGCACTGTAAAAAAAATCTGTTAAATTTATGGTAAAATACTGGCAGCTATGAACTTTACCATGAAAAATACAAGATGTCCAGGACCTCCGGCAGAAAAGCAGACCCACAACATTAAAGATCCAGCAGTATATTTAACTGTGGGCATGGGGTGCTTTTTATCCCTGCACTGTAAAAAAAATCTGTTAAATTTATGGTAAAATACTGGCAGCTATGAACTTTACCATGAAAAATACAAGATGTCCAGGACCTCCGGCAGAAAAGCAGACCCACAACATTAAAGATCCAGCAGTATATTTAACTGTGGGCATGGGGTGCTTTTTATCCCTGCACTGTAAAAAAAATCTGTTAAATTTATGGTAAAATACTGGCAGCTATGAACTTTACCATGAAAAATACAAGATGTCCAGGACCTCCGGCAGAAAAGCAGACCCACAACATTAAAGATCCAGCAGTATATTTAACTGTGGGCATGGGGTGCTTTTTATCCCTGCACTGTAAAAAAAATCTGTTAAATTTATGGTAAAATACTGGCAGCTATGAACTTTACCATGAAAAATACAAGATGTCCAGGACCTCCGGCAGAAAAGCAGACCCACAACATTAAAGATCCAGCAGTATATTTAACTGTGGGCATGGGGTGCTTTTTATCCCTGCACTGTAAAAAAAATCTGTTAAATTTATGGTAAAATACTGGCAGCTATGAACTTTACCATGAAAAATACAAGATGTCCAGGACCTCCGGCAGAAAAGCAGACCCACAACATTAAAGATCCAGCAGTATATTTAACTGTGGGCATGGGGTGCTTTTTATCCCTGCACTGTAAAAAAAATCTGTTAAATTTATGGTAAAATACTGGCAGCTATGAACTTTACCATGAAAAATACAAGATGTCCAGGACCTCCGGCAGAAAAGCAGACCCACAACATTAAAGATCCAGCAGTATATTTAACTGTGGGCATGGGGTGCTTTTTATCCCTGCACTGTAAAAAAAATCTGTTAAATTTATGGTAAAATACTGGCAGCTATGAACTTTACCATGAAAAATACAAGATGTCCAGGACCTCCGGCAGAAAAGCAGACCCACAACATTAAAGATCCAGCAGTATATTTAACTGTGGGCATGG